GGGGGGGGGGGGTGATATAGATAGATATATTGCAGATATATAGATTCTGTAAATAGATACTGTAGATAGGTAGGTAGGTAGGTAGGTAGATAGGTAGGTAAGTTGATAGGTAGGTAGATAGATGATACAGAGATGATAGATAGTAGGTAGGTTGATAGGTAGGTAGGTTGATAGGTAGGTAGGTAGATAAGTAAGATAGATAGATAGATAGATAGATAGATAGATAGATAGATAGATAGATAGATAGATAGATAGATGATAGATAGATAGATAGATGATAGATAGATAGACAGACAGATAGATGATAGATAGATAGTAGGTAGGTTGATATGTAGGTAGGTTGATAGATAGGTAGGTAGGCTGATAGGTAGGTAGGTAGGTAGGTTGATAGATAGGTAGGTAGGCTGATAGGTAGGTAGGTAGGTAGGTTGATAGGTAGGTTGATAGATAGGTAGGTAGGTTGATAGATACGTAGATAGATAGATAGATAGATAGATAGATAGATAGATAGATAGATAGGTAGGTAGATAGATACAGAAAGACAGAGATGATAGATACAGAGATGATAGATAGTAGGTAGGTAGGTTGATAGGTAGGTAGGTAGATTGATAGGTAGGTAGATAGATAGAGAGATAGATAGAGAGATACAAAGATATCTCCCCCACATTCCATCTCTTCAGTTGCACCTTCCAGTTGTGTTTCATCCTACCATGTTTCAATTATTGCAACAATGTCACACCTGCCTTTATGTTCCACCTTCACCCCGTTTATTCCTCATACTTTGAGCATCCGTGCAGAGGCCTCTGAGTCTCTTTTTAAAGGTGTTGGTTTCTACATCCCCCCTTTTGTCTCCAAGTTCCCCCTTTTTCTTCCATATTTCTCTGATTCCCATAAGATTTGAGCTTCCAATTAGCTTCTAAAACTTTGTCTCCCTCTCATTTTGGTTTCACTTTCAAGCCCTTCGGATGAGGGGAGCCAGTCAGTGTCCAAAGCTGACATTCTGGATCCTTGTGAGGGGCATGTGCTGTCCAGCCACTGTATGGGAATTGGATAGTTAGACAAAAATTGTGAGCTGTCCCCTTAAGGAAAATGGTAAATGCAGTTAAGGTATCCTGGGAAATGTAGTCCATGTCATGTGGCCACATCTGTAATCCTGATTGGTCACTAATTGACCCTCGAGGGGTTGGGGGAGGTTTCCTCACTCTTGGCTGAATTCGTGGTAACTGTTTTACTTCTACGGATACGAGATGAGAGAAAAAGGATAGCAGATAATCATCTTTTTACCTACAAGACAGATATGCAAAGGTCATTAAAGAAGAACGTCATCACAAATGTGAGTTATGAGGATACCTGATGAACCAATAAAAGTACTTTGTTATGGATGTTTTGTGGAGTTTATCTATCTGCATCTGTACAGTTTTACAAATCTACCACTGTACAGGATACAGAACAGGGCAGCTCATCCCCTGTTCCTGAGGAGGACCCTGCCTGCTGGCATTCTGCTCCTCCAAAGGGGGCTTGAGGGGAAGGAGAGCAAGGGGGCCTCTGAGCAGGAGGGGAGTCCAGCCCCTTCCCCTCCCTGGATCTGGCCACCCTCCTCCTGAACCAGTTCTGGCTTCGGATCTGAAGTAGCCGGGTGGTGGATCCAGAGGCAGTGGAGGTAGGAGCCTCCTTTGGGGACAGGAAAGAGGAAGAGGATGAGGAAGGAAGGAAGGAAGGAAGGAAGGAAAGAAGGGAGGGAGGGAGGGAGGAAGGAAGGAAGGAAGGAAGGAAGGAAAGAAGGGAGGGAGAGAGGGAGGGAGGGAGGGAGGGAGGAAGGAAGGAGTCCAGGGTTTTCTTACATCTGAAGTTTATTCTTTCATAGTAAAGCGAAGGGAAGGGAAGGGATTTGGAGGAAGAGTGATGGAGATGAAGCTGCTGTGGGTTCAAAGCCCACCCTGCCCTCACAAGAAAGGGAGGCCCTGAAAGGAAGCTGGGGGGAGGGTCTCAGCAGGAGAAGGTCCAGGCTGCCATCCTCCTCCTCCCTCCTCAACCTGCCACCTTCAGCCTCCATTTCTCAGAGGTTACAAACAGGAGAAAGAGTCATCAGCTACTAAAGAAAAAAAATATCCTTTTGCATCTGAGAGCCGGATTAATTCATGAGTGCTGTAGAAAAAGAGACGGGGAAGAAAATTAGAATATAAAGAGACATTTTTGGTGTAAATAACATATTTTTTCTTCCCTTTCAGCCCCCCAACCCCCAAGTCAGGCCAACACTGCAGGGGGTTGGTTGATAGGCAGGGACAGATAGAGGAAGAATCCGCCCATTTCAGGGAGGAAAAGGCTGGGATGCTTCATATGAACAAAGAAGATGGGGCTAGGAAAAAGGTGGCAGAAAAGGCGGGGGGAGCCTGGGGGTCACTTGGCCAGAAATGGTGTGAATTCCCACAAGGAGAAGCGGGGTCAGGAAGAACAGTCTGTCAAGGTTCCAACTAATGAACCCAAACGAGTCTGCATGGGGTGCCAGAAAGAATCATCTTGGGTCAGGGGAGAGGTCCAGTTTATGGCAAAGTTTTGGAGGGAGTTCATGAAATTGATAGGGTCATCATTCTCAAGGGCTTAGCTCCGCCCTCCATCCAAGTACGGACGGAGCTGCAGAACGACCTAACGCAATGATAGAACAATACCTGAGATGCTGTGTTAATTATCAGCAATTTAGCTGGGAAGATCTCCTGCCATTTGCTGAAGTGGCCTTCAATACCGCAGTGCATAGTAACACGGGACTCATCCCTTTTAAAATAGCCACGGGGTGGAATTTGTCTCCATGCCTGAATACCCTCAGAAACCCGCCCCCCTCCACACTTAGCCTAACAGAATGGGTGGGTTGCTTACAAAATATGGGAGGGAATGTAAACCTGGGGTGCTCCCTCCCCGAGGGAGGAATGGGAAGAAATGACCCCCTCCTTCCCTTTTGCATTTTCTCAAAACTTGGAAAAATTATGTGCAAGATTTTAGCATTTGTGAGTGCTTTTGTTTTCGATTACAGTAACTTTTTCAGGTCTCTGTAAGGAAAAACTGCCCAAGATCCAAAAAATCCACAGCTAGGAGATATTGTTCAGGCATGATTTTTTTTTTTTAAAAAAAGAAACAATTAAGGAATTAAAAAGCCACTTGTCAGCTGGTGCTCCATTCAAAATCCAAGAAAGAAATACTTAGACTCTTTTAATTAGAGAAAAGATATCTTTTACTGGAAGTCAAGTGGTAGCAACAAAAGAATTCTAAATCTGAGGAAATGGGCTTGTAAATCACATATACAAAGTGATGGCAATATTCCCACCCCCAATAGTTCAAATGGTTCTTCCAATTAAAAGTTGTGAATATCATCATGTGGACATCTTCAGGTGGTGGTGAGGCTTCTGCCCGTTGACATTGGCATAGTTTGATAAAGGTTTGCAGTTGCGCAGAGAAGAGAAAGCTAAGCAAGAAACAGAAACCTAAGCAAAAATGTACTCTCCCCACTCCTCAGTTTATACAATACTAGTTTGCAACACCTCCAGCTCACTTCCCATACTTTCCCCCTCCCTCCCCCCGTTACTTATGACAGCCGAAAAATGCAAAGCAAAGGAAGAAAATCTTGAAGGCTGACACCACCGATAACTTGTAGGAGGGGTTGAGATGATGGGAAAGAGGAGAAACTCACCTGCAGGAGGTAGGATGGGAGTGGCTGGAAGGAGAAAAAGAGCCAATCAGGAGCCTTCATGGGCTGGAGGACTCAGGGGATCCCCCTCCCCATCGATAGCCCATAATAGGTTGCACAATCTTCACTTAAAAACCCCTCCAAGAACAGAAGTTCCCCAAAATATTCCTCAGGTGGAGTCTCTTGGCCACCTGCTAAGCTTGATGAGAGGCCTCCCCTAGATGGTCCCCTCCCCACAACCTCTCCTCCAGCCCCCACAGACTCATCTTTCTTGTTCTTCAGGTAGGAGAAAAGCCCCACAGCCAGGAAGGCCACTCCTATCACGGCCCCCATGATCCCCGTCCACAGTTTGCTCCTGGCAGAGCTGGATGAACGGGGCTCTGGGGAAGGAGAAGGTGCCTCACCTGAGCAGAAGGATCAGGCCCACCTTCCCCAGGAGGGTTCATTCCAGCTCCCTCCCCACAGGGAGGGTATCTCCCCCTTCTCAGGGTAGGAGGGGAGAGAGGGGAGGGGCTTACCCCACTGGACGGTGATGGGGGCCTCCAGGCTGGTGTGCCCCACCCAGCAAGCGTAGAGGTCCCGCCGCTGGGGCTGGGTCTCCAGCATCACCTGGAGCTGATATGTCCAGTCTCCATTCTGGAGCTCCTCCCCGAAGGCCACGTCCTCCTCTTCCAGCCAGCTGTTCTTCAGCCACTGGACCTCAATCTCCAGAGGGTAAAAGCCCCTTGCGGTGCAGAGGAGGATGGTGTTGGGGGAAGCGGGGTCCATCTTGGTGGGGGAGATGGTGACGGTAGGCTTGGCTGGAGGGAAGGAGGAAAAGGAGGGACAGGAGAGACACAGGAGGGCCCAGAATAGGAGACCAAGTTGGTTAGTTCGGGCCAAGATCCCTTTTCACTCCTGAAAATATTCTGTGTTTTGAGTCATCTTCCAAAGATCCCTCTTGATCTCTTCCTTTAGCAAGTTCTCCAGCTGGCACAAGTTGTGGGAGCGTCATCACTTGAGATTTTCAAGAAGAGATTGGATTGCCATTTTGTTAGAAATGGAGTAGGGTCTCCCGCTTGGGCTGGGGGTTGGACTAGATGACCTACAAGGTCCCTTCCAACTCTGATTATCCTTCCTTCTTTTATTTGTTTGTTTATTGGATTTAAAAGCTGCAAATGACTCTGAAAAAAGAATAAAATGAAACAAAAGGGGATAACAGGGGAAAGAGCCTCCAGTAATCCTTTTTTATTTTTTTTTTGTAAAAAAAGTAATTTTTAATCCTAAAGTGCCCAAAACAGCATTTCTGGGCCCCTGAAAAGGAGGGAGGGGCTTCCGGCTGGAAAGAGGGAGGGAAACAGGCAATTCCTGAATAGGATAAAAAGGAATCAGGGACAGAAAGAAACAGATGAATATCCAGTGTAGTTCTCCACTTACCACCACAACTGAGCCCAGAATCTCTGTTGCTAAGTGAGACGTTTATTCCATGAATTTTGCCCCCATGTTACGACCTTTCTTGCCACAGTCGTTAAGTGAATCACTGCAGTTGTTAAATGAGTAACCTGGTCGTTAAGTGAATCCAGCTTCCCCAGGGACTTTGCTTATCGGAAGGTTGCAAAAGGGGATCAGGTGACCCCGTGGGAGGCTGCGACCGTCGTAAGAACAAGTCAGTGGCCAAGCACCTGGATTTGGATCAGGGGACCCTGGGGAGGCTGCAACGGTCAGAAGGGTGAATTGTTTGTGACTTTGGACAGTCACTAAATGAACTGTTGTAAGTGGAGGACTGCCTGCATTGAGCAGGAGGGAGGGAGGGTGAGAGACCTGGCTGGATTCCCCTCCCCCCCCAAAAAAGAACATGATATTTGGGTGGATTTCCTGGGGGGGTCAAAGGGATCCCAGATTCCAGACAGGGAGCGAGTTTGGATCCTGGGAAGGAAGATTTTGTAGCTCTTGAGAGGGCAGAACAGAGAAAGAGATTAAACCCTCATCCAGGAGAATTTATTTTATTTTATTGTCACTGCACCTCGTACAACGAAACCAAACACCATCTTCAGTGCACATCATGACCATGAAAATAAACACAAGCACACATCCTTCACATTCTATACATTGAACTGAAAACCCCTGATATTGCATGAATATTGAACTATACAGTAGAATTCAACAGAGCTACTGCCCTGGGATAGAAGCTGTTTTTCAGCCTGTTTGTCCTTGTTTTTATTATTCTGTACCGTCTGCCAAATGGTAATAGTTCAAAAAAAGGGATGGATCTTTGAGGATGTTTTGAACTTTCTTAAGGCAGCGGGAGCTCTAAAGCTCTTCCAAAGAGGAGAGAGGGCAACCCATGATCCTCTGGGCAATGATGTTAACCCTCTGGAGTGCTGTCCTATCTGAATGTCCAGGAAGGAAGTGAAAAGGGGGTCCCAGTCTCCCCTCCCAGGGAAGAGACCCCCCCCCAGGTCTCACGTCTCCGGCCGATGAGGTGCTGCCTCGTAGTTGAACAGCCAGTAGTTGTGTCGGCAGACAGAGTCCACTTGGGCCTTCGTGTACTGCAGGAACTTTTTTTATCATTGTTCCACCTGTCCGCCTCCACCCCCCACCCCCACCCCCCAACTCCATGATGGCCTGTATTTCCCAAAGTCGCTATCGACGAATATCGAGGTCGTAGAAGTACCTGAGCAGGAGCCTCACCCGCTGCGTCCCGTTGAGGAAGCGACATTTGTGCTTCCACTGGTGCAGGAAATGGGATGAAGAGGAGGAGGAAGGCCAGAGGTTTGGAGTCCAAAGCCCATCATCCCCAGCCTTTGGTAGAGGAGGAGGAGGGTCCCACGGAAGAAGGGAGGGTGGTGGGGGAACCTTCCTTTGAGATACTGGAGGAAGGCGCCCCTGGAGGAGGATAGGGGGACCCTGTCAGCTCTAGAGAAGAAGGCAGACTTGCTGGGGGAGGGAGGGTCTGGAGGGGAAGGGGAGAAAGAGGGGGGGAGGAGCCTCCTTGAGGGATTCCCACATCCTCCCCTGATAGAAAAAGGCAGGCGGGGGCTCACCTGGTGCAGGAATCCCGTGAAGTCTCTGCAGGGAGCACGTGGGATTTAAAGGGGGAGGAATTGTGGGGGGGGGGGGGGCTTGAGGAGAAGTAATATCCATACCCCCCCACTCTCTCTTCCTTTGGGAGGAAATATGGGGAGGGGGCACAAGCAGGGCATCTAGATCGACTCTCCTGGGATCTCCCACCCTTCACTCTTCATCTTCCCTGGGTCTCCCCGCTTTCTTCTTCCCCGAATCTTTAGCCCAAGCACCGGCCTTTGGATGATTGTCGAGGGTCACACCTGTTTCCTATCTCCCCCCTCCCCCAAAAGACCTCCCCTGCAGTCCCCCTCAAAGGGAGGGTCTCCAGCCCCCCCCCCAAAAGAGAGTTTTTGAGAGCCGATTGAAGGGAGCAACTCGGAGCCCCCAATATCCCCCTCCCTCGGTCCCCCCCCTCAAAATCCCAATAGAGCAAAGGGGGATTATGGGGGGGTCTTGGTCTCCTCCCCAAATCCAGGGGCTCCCCCAGAAAGGACTGAAGGTCCCCTCTTGCCTGACCTTCAAAGCCTCAATTCTGAGATTCGGAAGAAAAAAACGGAAGTTTTTGCAGAAGCCAACATCCTTTTGCTTCAACGCCTCTTTTTCCTTCTGTGGATTCAGGGCTGAAAATGCCTCAGTTTCCCTATTTCCGCTTTTCCTTCCCTTCCTCTTTCAAGGCAGCCGATTCAGACCCAGACAATGGGGGGGGGGGGGGGGGGGGGAGCCCCGGGCTGGGCCCCCCCCCCCCTGCGCCCCCCCGGGGGGGGGGGGGGGGGGTCCTTCCCAACCCCCTCCTCCCCCGTCCAGCCCCCTCCTTACAGGGGTCTCCTTCCCCACTTCGCTCCTGGGGATCCGAGCGCCCCCACCAGCAGCATCAGGAGGAGCCCAGCAGAGCTCATGGATGCCACCCTACAAGCGCCCCCCAAGAGAGGGGAGGAAGACGCGGAGGCTCCCAGCCCCAAAGGAGGAATGGAGGGGGGTCTGGAAGGGGGAGGGAGGAACTTCAGACTTGGGAGTGTCCAGAAAGAGGAGGGCCAATGAGAATCCTCCCTTCTGCAGCATCATCGGTCTCCGGGCAGAGTCTCCCTTGACTTTACCCGATGGAGGAGATAGTTCAGTGTAGAGAAAAATTCGAGTCGGTTATTCAGGCTCTTCACTCCTCAAAATAATATTCTGGTTCTTAAGTCATGTTTCCAAGCAAATGGCAGCAAGAAATTAAAAGGGATCCCGAAAGATGGGAAAAAAGATTCCTAGTTGGGATCAGTTATAGTTTCCTGTCCCCTCCCAAAAGACCCCCCAAGAGCCCCCCCAAGACCACCTCAAAGGGAGGGTCTCCCCCCTTCACAAAAGGGAGAGTTTGGGGGAGTTGATTTCTGAGGAGCAACTCAGACACCCCCAAATTCCCTTCTCTCAAAGCCCCCCCTCCAGGTCCTGATTGAGGAATGGGGCATTATAGGGTGGGGGGGGTCCTTGGTCCCCTCCCCAAATTCACAGGCTCCCCCAAAGGGATCCGAGCTCCCCTCTTGCTTGACTCTTCAAAGCCTCAAATCTGAGATTCAGAAGAAAAAAGTGAAGTTTCTGAAGGTGCCAAAAATTCTTTTTCTTATATACTTTGGCGGCATTTGTGGATTCCGCTCTGAAAATGCCTGTTTCCCCGTTTCCGCTTTCTGCCTCCTTCCTCTTTTAAGGGAGGTCCGAAGTGATTCGGGGCTTGAAGACTCTCTTGCACTCCACCCTTTTCCCAAAGTCTCTCCTGGGGGTCCCAGCCCCTTCCTTCCCCCCCCCCCTGCCCCCCCGCATCCCTGGGTCCCTCCCCCCCCCCCCCTCCCCGGCCGCCCCCTTCCCCCCGCCCCCCCCCGGGGGGGGGGGGGGGGACCCCAGCAGAGCCCCCAAGCCCCCCCCCCCTCCAGGAATGGGGAGGCCTGGAAGTTTCCAGCCCCAGAAGTGGAATTGTTGGGTCTGGACTGGGTGGGAGATGAAGAGTTTGGAGGGCGAAGTTTCATCCTCCCGACTTGTGGGTCGCTTTCCGTCCCAGCTGGGTAGCATCTTCAGCAGCTGGGTAGCATCTTCAGGGGAGTAGAGGGGAAAGGGTTAAAAAAGAGCTTCCTTTGCTCAGTCAGCATGGAGAGTAGCCAGAAGCAGCAGAACCAATCAGAATCCCCCGTGATGCAGCATCAGCAGTCTCCAGGCAGGGTCTCTCTTGCTTTCACCCATTGCAGGAGACAGTTCCAACTTGAGACAGAAGCGGAGTTTCAATGATGACAACGTCACACCTGCCTTTGGGTTCCACCTTCACCTTGTTTCTTCCTCGTGCTTTGAGCATCTGTGCAAAGGCATCTGAGGTTTCTACATCTCCTGTTTTGTGTCCAAGTTCCCCATTTTTCCTCCAATTTGGTGGATTCCCCTGAGATTTCCCTTTGGATTAGCTTCTCAAACTTCCTAGCTCCCTCTCACTTTCAAGCCCAGAATGAGGGGGTCAGGGATTCAGAGTGGGGCTCTTTGGGAAAGGGTAGGGGTTAGCAATGAGGACTGAGGAGATCAGGCAGATCCCAAGATTACAGCAGAACCTTGGATGGGATCCCTCTTAACCCCCTCTTCAGCAAATGCTCCAACTGACACAATTCTTAGATGGATTAATAGGGGGTGTCTGGGTGAGCCCCCCCAAGAAGGGCCTTAAAAGGTCCGCTCCAACTCAAAGTACTTTGCTAACAATGTTTCTCTTGAGGGATTATTTTTAACAACTGTTAATTCTATAATGCTGAAGAGCATTCAATTTGTTATTTGTAATTTAAAGCAGGGATCTAATCTGGTTGCCACCCAGACAAAGAACATTTCAGGTGTGGATTGTTGTTGTTTTTCATAATAAGCCCATTTGCATCTAGGAACATGAAATATCTTTCTGGAATAGCTAAAATAAAGGCAGTGGCTTTACAAAGTGAAAATCGTGACTATTTGTTCGAACAAGAAATGCAAACTCTAGATGAGAAAAAAATATTTCAGCAAAAAAAAATGGAGTATTTTTAAATAAATGGAAATTGAAAAGTTTCAATTTGGCATTTTATTGAAAACAACTTCAAATCATATAGATTACTTTTAGTAGGTAAACAAACAGAGTATCGGATGGCATGAATCATTTTTATGGCCCAACCCAAAATTAACCTAATTTTACACAAAAATCTACTGATAGGAGTTTGTGGTTCCAAACTGATAAGATGGGAGCTGCTGGAGAGATTTTCATTCACTTCTGGATCCACTAGTGAATCGGTAGATTGTTTTTTGTTTTTAAAGACCCCCCAGAGACTCAACTTTCTCCTTCTGTCCATCCAAGAATTGACAGAGCCCTGGTGCCTGAAGTCCTAAGCCTGGTACAAGTCCTCGGCGGCTGGCGCGCCTATCCGCACTTTCGCTGAAGCAGGAGATCCTATACCATTTCAGGATCTACTGATATCCCGACAGGATCTCTTTCATAAAAGTGACTATCCAGTCTCTTCTTAAAAATGTCCACTGATGAAGCAACCACAATGTCTGAAGGAAAGCTGTTCCACTGGTTAATTGTCTTCACTATAAGAAAGATTCTCATTAATTTGAAGTTGCTTCTCTCCTTGATTATTTTACATGCATTGTTTCTTGTCCTGCCCTCTGGTGCTTTGGAAAATAAATTGACCCCCTCCTCTTTGTGGCAGCCACTCAAGTACTGGAATACTGCTATCATGTCACTCCTAATCCTTTTCTGCAGATTAGCCACCCCCAAATCCTGCAACCGTATGTTCTTCATATGTTTCAGTCTTCATGCCTTTAATCCTCTTAAGCTGCTCTTCTTTGCACTTTCTCCAAAGTCTAAACATCTTTTTTGTAATGCGATGACCAAAACTTGATGCAGTATTCCAGATGTAGCCTTATTAAGGCTTTATAAAATGGTATTAATACTTCATGTGATTTTGATTCTACGCCTGTTTATACAATCAAGGATTATATTAGCTTTTCTGGCTGCCGCCGCACACACGTGACTCATGTTTAAGTGATCATCCATTCGGACTCACAAGGTCCCTCTCACAGTTACTGTTTCTGAGCCAGGTTTCCTGTAATCTGTTTTTCCTGCCCAGGTGTAAAATCTTACTTTTCTCTATATTAAGTTTCATTTTGTTGGATTCAACCTTGTCTCATTTGGATCAGAAAGGCAAAATATGCACACACATACAAATGTAGAGACATGGTGGGTCAGTGGTTAGAATGCAGTACTACAGGCTAACTGCCCACAGCCGGGAGTTTAACCCTGACTGACTCATGGTTGATTAAGTCTTTCATTCTTCGGAGGTTGCTAAAATGAGGACCCAGATTGCTGGGGATGATATGCTGACTCTGTAACCTGCTCAGAGTGTGGTAAAGCATTATGGAGTGGTATGTAAGTCTAAGTGGAATTGCTGTTGCTATATAGTTTCTCCTGAGTGTGGATCCTTTTATGAGAAATAAGATGACCATTCTGAGTAAACCTTTCAATATTCCATGGATTTATATGGCTTCCCCCGTGTGGATCATCTTATGGGAAATAATGACCTCTTTGAGCAAAGGTCTTTCCACATTCCATTAATTTAAATGGTTTCTCTCCTGTGTGGAGCTTTTTGTGGGTAGTAAGTCCACTACTATAAGCAAAGGTCTTCCCACACTCCATGCATTTAAATGGTTTCTCTCCTGTGTGGATCATCTTATGGGAAATAAGAATAACTCTGTGAGCAAAGGTCTTTCCACATTCCATGCATTTATATGGTTTCTCCCCTGTGTGGATCCTTTCATGGGAAGTAAGATTATATCTACGAGCAAAGGTCTTTCCACACTCCATGCAATTATATGGCTTCTCTCCTGTGTGGCTTCTTTTATGGGAAATAAGATTAGATTTATGAGCAAAGGTCTTTCCACACTCCATGCATTTATATGATTTCTCTCCTGTGTGGAGCTTTTTGTGGCTTATAAGTCCACTGCTATAAGCAAAGATCTTTCCACACTCCATGCATTTATACTGCTTTTCCCCCGTATGGATCTTTTTGTGGATAATAAGTCCACTATTATAAGCAAAGGTCTTTCCACACTCCATGCATTTATACAGCTTCTCCCCTGTGTGGATCACCTGATGGAAAATAAGTTGACCTCTTTGAGTAAATGTCTTTCCACACTCCATGCATTTATATGGTTTCTCCCCTGTATGGATCCTTTCATGGGAAGTAAGTGTACAGCTACGAGCAAAGGTCTTTCCACATTCTATGCATTTATATGGTTTCTCCCCTGTGTGGATCCTTTCATGGGAAGTAAGTGTACTGCTCAGAGCAAAGGTCTTTCCACACTCCATGCATTTATATGGTTTCTCTCCT